GCTTATTTTTTGATTTATTGTAGAGATGAGGTCTCGCCCAGTTGCCCAGGCGGGTCTCGAACCCGCAGGCTCAAGCAATCCATTCACCTCAGCCTCCCAAAGGTGTGGGATTACAGGATGAGCCATCAAGCCTGGCTTAGGGACTTTTTCTAAAAGGCGTTGCAGATTGTCAATTGTGAGAACTTGTTCTAGTTACAGAAGACTTACTCTCCTCTCAACAATTGGGGAATGCTTATTTTTCACATTTTGTGAATTCTTCTGTCTTGCCAGAAAGTCATTTTCATGGCTGTGGGAAGTTGGAGAAAGTAGTTTATGACTCTGAAGCCTAGAGAACACCGGGCTTTAAAAGGGCTGGAATTGGAATCTGGGGACTACAGTTAGGAAAACTTCAGGTACCAGTTTCATCCAAAAGCACTCTGTTGGACAATAAGACTAGATCCTAAAGTATATATTTGATGTCTTCTACCTTTTCATGATCATGTGTTAACAAAGCGTGTTCATATTTTACTCAGAGTCTCATTCATTTGATAAGGATTGGGCACATTATGTATATGGTATTAAACATAAAAAGATCCCTGAAGTATCTATGGTGTTATTTTATATATACATACGCTTTTGTCTATGGCTCCTGGCTCATAACTTCCATAGTTCTTGTAACATTCTTTTGTCATAATGTTGGGTGTGTCTTGCCTCAGGGGCAGGCCTTAGGAAACAGAATCTCTCTGATCCTCTCTTGCCCTCCTTTTACCCGCCCCGAGGCAGGACTCTAATCTTCCCTGACCTGACTGTGGGTTATTCCAGAGAGGGTCCTGCCCCATATCCTGGGAGAAGGAATGCTGACATCATGAGGTTTCCATAAAAACCCAAAAAGACAGGGTTGGGAGAGCTTCTGGATAGCTGAGCATGTGAAGGTTCCTGGAGGGTGGCGCACCCAGAGAGGGCATGGATACTCCACGTGCCTTCCCCTAGATACCTCACTTTATGCATCCCTTCATCTGTATCCTTTGCAGTATCCTTTATAATAAACTGGTAAATGTCAATAAGTGTTTCCCTGAGTTCTGAGCCACTCCAGCAAATTAATCTAGTGCAAACGGGGTGTAGGAGCCCCAACTTGAAGCTGGTTTATCCGAAGTTCTGGAGGCCTGGACTTGCAACTGGTGTCTGAATGGAGAGAGGGAGAGTTGTTTTGGGAACTGAACCCCCAACCTATGGGAATCTAACACCATCTTCAGGTGAATAGTGTGGAAATTGAATTGGAGGATGTCTGGTTGGTGTCCGCTGCAGAATTAGTTGCTAGCTCTGTGGTGGGTAGAAACTCCACACACTTAGTCACAAAAGTCTTCTCCTGTGTTGCTTATTGCTGTTGCGATGGAGTGAGAGCAAAGGAAAAATCCAGTTTGGGAGTTTTTTCAAAAGAGTGTCCTATATTTGGATTGTGACTTGTAGACTAAAGCTAACCTTATTGCATCTTGTTGAAAAGTCTATGAAAAACATAGTAGGTTAATGATCTCCAACTTTGGAAAATGTACACGATGTGAAACTGGGGTGCTATGTTAAAAATAAATGTGTCGATCACTTTATCTCTTGCCTAATACATGGCATGCAAAGGGAAAAATAAAATAAAGTAAAAGTGCTAGGCACAGTGGTTCATGCTTGTAATCCCAGCACTTTGAGAGACCGAGGTGAGAGGATTGCCTGAACCCAGGAGTTTGAGACCAGCCTGGGCAACATAGTGAGACCTCGTCCCTATTAAAAAAAGAAAGGTAAAAAATTTAAAAGCCTGTAATCCTGCGCCTTTGGGAGGCTGAGGTGAGTGGATTGCCTGAGCCCGCGGGTTCGAGACCCGCCTGGGCAACTTGGTGAGACCATCTCTACAATAAATCAAAAATTAGCCAGATGAGTGAAACCTCATCTCTACAATAAATCAAAAAATTAGCTGGATGTGGTAGAGCATACCTGTCGTTCCAGCTACTGGGAAGGCTGAGGCGGAGGGATCGCTGGAGCCCAGCAGGCCGAGGCTGCGGTGGCTGGGAGCGGTCACTGCCCTCCAGTCTGGGCGACAGAGTGAGACTCCAACTGAAAAAAAAATATTTTTTAAATGTAAAAAACCAAATATATGATAACTAAACAATAAAAAAGAAAGAGGCAGTCAGTAAAAAAAAAAAAAATCTTAGAGGTACAGTGATACTGTCATGAAAGGAAAAAAGTGGCCAGCTGATTTAAGCCAGTAGGCAGTCTCCTGCCACCCTAGTGAGGGTTTGGGAGGTTCTAACAGTTTCTAAATTCTCCAATCTCAGTTTAGTTTCTCTTCTCACTAACTGAAATCTTCTCTCAGCAAATTAGGTTAACTTGTTAATGTTTCATAGATTATAGTTTATCTTGTTATATTTATACCAATGTTGGTTGATACCTTCTCTTCTAATTTTTCTTTTGTCCTTTACTCTTATGGAAATTTGTAAATTACAAAAGTAGTACATACCTGTTATACCAAGATGAAATAGCACATTAAAGAAAGTTAAGTCCCTCTGCCTGAGGTAACCACAGTTAAGAGCTAGATGTACGTGTGTGCATTCCTCTTCACATTTTTTTCATGTTCAGACAAATAAATATTTATTTATATGGGGTTATTTTCTCCTCCTTCCTTCCCCTCCTTCCTGCTTTCCTTTGGGAAAAAAAAAACTATCTGAAAGGATATCCAAAAACCTGATAATCAGGTTAACTTTGGGGCAGCAAACCTGTATACTTGGGAACAGAAGTGAAAGGGAGATTGAGTTTTGACTGTGTGCCCTTCTGTATTGCTTGCTTTTTTCCTCTTTTTATCATAGCATCTATTATTGACTCTTAAAAATTCTCTTTATCGATTTTCTCTGAAGCAGTCCCATCAGGAACAGTGTTTCTGTGACACTGCCTTGCCATTGGTGAGGTGTTTTTAAAATTTTCCTTTTAATGACACATCTTGATTTTCTTGATTTTTAAAAATTTTTTTTATTTTTTTTGGTAAACAACTCTCTTTTTTTTTTAAGTCAGAGTCTTACCCTGTTGCCCAGACTGGAGTGCAGTGGCATGCTCCTGGCCACCGCAGCCTCGACCTTTTGGGCTCAGGTGATCCTTCCGCCTCAGCCTTCCAAGTAGCTGGAACTACAGACATGTGCCATCACGCCCGGCTAATTTTTTTTTTTTTTTATTTATTGTAGAGCTGAGGTCTCGCCCAGTTGCCCAGGCTGGTCTTGAACCTGTGGGCTCAGGCAATCCTCTCACCTGGACCTCCCAAAGTGCTGGGATTATAGGCGTGAGCCACCGGGCCTGGCTCTCTTTTTTTTGTTGGAGTCTCACTCTGTCGCCCAGGCTGGAATGCAGTGGCACACTCACAACCACCACAGCCTCAACTTGCTGGGCTCAGGTGAACCGTATGCTTCAGCCTTTCAAGTAACTGGAACTACAGGCATGGGCCACCATGCCCAGCTAATTTTTTGATTTATTGTAGAGACGAGGTCTTACCAAGTTGCCAAGGCTGGTCTCGAACCTGTGGGCTCAGGGACCTCCTGTGGGCTCAGGCACCTCCCAAAGTGTAGGCGTTACAGGTATGAGCTACCGCTCCCGGCGGTAAACAACTCTTGATGAAGTTCAGAATGAAATAAAATACAGTCTTCCTTCCATTGACATGGTACTTTCATTTCTGGAAAATGCCATATTTATCAACACTGTGCAAAAGCATGTTTCTTTTTTCCTTTGGGAGTAAAGCAGAGTTAAGTTCTTGACTGAGATATTATAAACAGGGTTTCCACCTACATGAATATCTGGTAGGATCTTTGTAAGCCATGAAGGATGCAGGATTGTCTTGTGCACTGCAGATATGCAGCATCCCTGGCCTTTAACCATTAAATGTCAGTAGAATACCCCAATCATTGTGGCATCCTCCCTCCAAAATTTCCAAAATGCTTCCATGTTGAGAACCACTGCGTTAGCTGCTCCCTCTGCTTCTTTCCCCAGATGTTTGCAGAGTTGGTTTTGCTTGTCATTCAGAGCTCAGCTTAAATGTTATCTCTACAGAGAGGGCTTGCCTGACCATCCCTCTTACAGAGCCCTCATCACTTGACCACATCCCCCCACGTCAATTCTCCGTGTAGCATTTATCCCTATCTGCTATTTTTCTTTTCTGTTGTTTATTGTTCGTTTCTACCTACCAGAATGTAAGATCCATGAATGAAGGGATCTGTGTCTTGGTCGTAGCTGTGTCTCTGTTGCCTGGAACAGTAGCTGGCACATCATGAGTGTCCAGTAGTCACTAGTTAGATGAATGAATGAAGGATGGAAGGAGGGGGAAGGAATGAAGGAAGGAGAAAGGAAGAAAAGAAGGAAATCTCTTGTTCAGTTGTACAAGATGGAAGAGGTTGGCAGAACACATGTCTTCATGAAATTATTTGTTTAGGTCAAATATGATAAATGCCAAAAGATTAGCTAAATTCATAAGATCAGTGCATTAATCACTTTGCAGCAAATAATATCAACTTTGTCAGGAACTGGATCTTAGCCATTTTAAGTTTCTGGCATCATCTGTAATTTGAAAAAGAACCGTGATATTTGACAGAGACATTTGCTTTGTTCCCAATCATTTTCACCATTTTTTTGGCAGCAGTTTCACATAACACGGTAACATGTGGTTTCCATAGCTTTTGCATTTGGCCCATTGTACCTAACTTTAGGTGATGATTAAATGTCCTTTCCTGCCGCTTCAAAATTTTTGATGATGTTTGAAGCAGGCAGATTTCTTTCTTTTTTTTTTTGACACAAGAATTACAAATATATTTAAATCTCAGACCTGGGAAATGGACTATACACAGCCTTCTAAGGGAGGAGAAACACCTTAGATGTTCTGACAGCACTGCACCTTTGGCTTGTTTTCAGTGGTTGGAGGAACATGAATAGGAACCACGTTGTTACTTGGAGACATGTCATTTTCGCGTCTGTCTGACATCTGCTTCTGAGAAACAATGAGGTATATCTCTGTTAGAATTGTCTGAAAAGCAGCTTCTACATTTGTAGAGTCTAAAGCAGATGTCTCAATAAATGACAAGCCATTCTTTTCTGCAAAAGCTCTTGCTTCATCTGTGGGAACTGCCCTGAGATGACGTAAGTCACTCTTGTTGCCTACAAGCATGATGAAAATGTTACTATCAGCATGATCTCTCAGCTCTTTCAGCCATCGCTCCACATTTTCATATGTGAGATGTTTAGCAATGTCATAAACCAATAAGGCACCTACAGCTCCACGATAGTATGCTGAAGTGATGGCTCGGTATTGCTCCTGCCCAGCAGTATCCCATATCTGTGCCTTGATTGTTTTCCCATCAACCTGAATGCTTCTTGTTGCAAACTCTACACCAATGGTGCTCTTGCTTTCCAGATTAAACTCATTTCGAGTAAATCGAGACAGGAGATTACTCTTCCTAACACCACAATCTCCAATAAGGACAACTTTGAAGAGGTAGTCGTACTCGTCGTCGCGGGTGCCCATGGCGCGGCGGGGGACGACAGGCGGGAGCGGCGGCGTCTGCCTTTTTTTTTTTTTTTTTGAGCTGGAGTCTCACTCTGTCACCCAGACTGGAGTGCAGTGGCCACTCCCGGCCACCGCAGCCTCGACCTGCTGGGCTCCGGCCATCCTTCTGCCTCAGCCTTCCGCGCTGAGGCAGAACTACAGGCGCGTGCTACCACACCCAGCTAATTTTTGATATATTGTAGAGATGAGGTCTCGCCAAGTTGCCCAGGTGGGTCTCAAACCTGCGGACTCAGGCAATTCACTCACCTCGGCCTCCCAAAGCGTGGGATTACAGGCTGAGCCACCGAGCCTGGCCAGCAGGCAGATTTCGTATAAAAATGTGTGAGCCTTTTCATTTATTCACTCACTAACTCATGTATTCATTCCACAAATGTTTATTGACTACTTACTCTATATCAGGAACCATTCTAGGGATACATATATCAACAAAATAAAATTTGATTTACTCTCATGACCAGGCCATGTTAATCCAAATTTCAGTTATTTTTCATGGGAGTCACATGATACTTTTAGGTGTTCTTTTTTCCTTACAATATTAATGGGCCAAGTGTTGAAGTCAGGTATCTCTAATACTTATCTGAAGACCTAGGTTTAAACTCATCACATTTTCCCTACAAATTTCTTCACTATACTTTTTGTGATTTACACACAGTACAATTACCTTGTTTTGGTGAAGAGTTCCAGGAGTTTGCATACATGTATAGATTTGTGTGACCACCACCACAATCAGGATTCAGAACTGTTCTATTGCTCTCCCCAAATTCTCATGTGCTGCCCCTCTGTAGTCAAGGCCTCCGCCAACTCCATCCCAGGCAACCACAGATTTGTTCTCTGTCCCTATAGTTTCATCTTTTGAGAATGTAATATAGATGGAAGCATATAGCATGTAATTTAAAAAAAAAAGCTATTCCCTTCTGACAGTCACTTGGATCATGTAACCTTTTGGGACCAGCTTCTTCCACTCAGCTTAATACCTTTGAAATTTATCCATGTTGGTATTCATTAATAGATATTTTTCTTTTTTATTGATGAGTAATATTCCATGGTATGGATGTGCCACAATTTATTTATCCATTGTTTTAGTCTATCTGTGCTGGTACAACAAAATACCCGAGACTGGGTAATGTACAAAGAGCAGAAATTTATTTCTCACAGTTTTAGAGGCTGGAAGGTCCACAATCAACGTGCTGGCATCTGGTGTGGTGAGGCTTTCTTGCTCATCATCCCATGACAGAAGGTGGAAGGACAAGCTAACCAAACACTGCAGGAACCCTTTTTTATAGGGGCCTTAATCCATTAATAGAGGAGAAGCCCTCAGGGCCTCATCATCTCTTAATACCACCACACTGGCAACACTTGTGTTTTAGAGGGAACACATTCAAACCATAGCATTCATTCATCTGTTGATGAACATTTGGGCTGATTTCAGTTTTTGACTATTATGAATACAACTGCTATGAATATTCATGCACAGGTGTTTGTATGAAAATGTTTTCCTTTATTACATGAAAAATACTAAAACATGTATTTTACTAAAGCATTCTAAAACATGTCTTTGGTATTTTGCTTTTTCACTCTACACTTTATTCTAGATGCCACTCTAGTTCATAGAGATTTTTCTTACCTTTTCTTTTACAGCCACATAGTATTCTATTGTGGGGATGCTTATTCAACCATACTTGTATGTATGGACATTTAGGTTTCTTCCAGTCTTCTCCAATTATAAGCAATGTTACAATAAATAACGATGTACACATGCATTTTTTTTTTTTTTGAGTCAGGGTCTCTATCGGCCAGGCTGGAGTGGATTGGCATGATCACAGCTCACCATAGCCTCGACCTCCTGGAGTTAGGGATCCTTCCACCTCAGCCTCCTGAGTAGCTGTGACTACAAGCACATGCCACCATGACCAGCTAATTTTTTTGACTTTCTTGTAGAGATGAGGTCTCTCTATGTTGCCCAAGTTGGTCTTGAACTTCTTGGTTCAAGCAATTCTTCTGCCCTGGGTTCTTTTTTTTTTTTTTTGAGTTGGAGTCTCACTCTGTCACTCAGACTGGAGTGCAGTGGCACGCTCCCGGTCACCGCAGCCTCGACCTGCTGGGCTCCAGCGATCCTTCTGCCTCAGCCTTCCAAGTAGCTGGAACTACAGGCGCACACTACCATGCCCGGCTAATTTTTTTTTATTTTATCGTAGAGATGAGGTCTCGCCAAGTTGCCCAGGCGGGTCTCGAACCTGCGGGCTCAGGCAATCCACTCACCTCAGCCCTCCCAAAGTGCTGGGATTACAGGCTGAGCCACTGAACCCAGCTTGCCCTGGCTTCTTAAAGTACTGGGATTGGGTACCTGCATAATGAACATTTGTATATTTAACTCTGAATTGTACTCCACATCTTTAAAATAAAAAAAGAATAAAGCAGTAAAAATATCGTTAAGAAAAAAAAGATTTGTCTGTCTTGCTGCCACCCAAGACTATGCTTCTGTCTGCAAGTTCTCCCAATAAATCACTTGCCATCAACAACAACAACAACAACAACAACAATTACAAAGTGCTGGAATTACAGGTGTGAGCCACTGCACCTGGCCCATATGCATTTTTGAATTGTTAGGGATTTATCCTCACCCACTGTTACACTTTAAAATCCTATTTGTAATCACTGACCGATAGTGAATTCAACAGAAAACAAAATAGAAAGAATGAAGCACAGGCCTGATTTCTGATAAAAAATATACATACATTTACAAATTTCCTGTACTAAAGATTTGTCAGCTTTCGGAAATTGTGTGTTAGTTTATCAATGAAAAGAATGCACCGAAGTACATGAATCTTCAAGATACAAGGCCCTATGTTGGTGCTCTGGGTTGTGAAGTACTTCCCAAAATGGCTGTGGTCATTGGCAATGGGCAGATCAAGGAAGCAAGAGGCCAAGGTGCTGGGTGGTTGGCCATATAAATGTTGAAATCACTGAAAATGATTTGTTGTATTTAAAGTTAGCAAATATTTTTTCCCATTCTATGGGAGACAGTGTACTTGATCTCAAATCAGGTGAAATGGGTACCAAAGGGAGGCCCAAACTTTACCTGTACAATGAACACTTATCTACTAATTCTGAATTGTATCCTACATCTTAACCTGGATGGTCCTATTCCTTGACACGCACCATCCAGTTATATCACCCTCTCCCCATCCTGGTAGCAGTCTTCTGTCACCTTCCTGGACCCTGTACTCATTTGTGAAGACTTTGGGTTTTCACTTACAGTCTGTCCTCTTCATCCTAACTTCTCCCATCATTTCAGTGGCCCCAGACAAGGGACTAGCCAAGGAGGAGGAGCAAAGATCAGAAGGATATTGGGGGGCAAGGAGAGCTCCGATTTCACCTCTGAGTACTTCCTAAGGCATTAGGCCATGGGGAGATGAGAGAATAAACAGCCTGAACTTGAAAGGGATCAACAGACAGCCAAGGCTTCAATTACAGCAAGATGTGGATGGAGCATTCTGAGAGGTTTGAGGCTTTGGTACTTAACCCATCAGATGGGGAGTGCTAGCCCTAACTTGACTCTCTCACCCTAACTTGCTGAAAAAGTTCAGCTGTTTTGGTGTCACGTGTTCTAGGTCAACAAGTGTTGGCCGCAGCAGTGAAAGTAGCTACTGCAATGACCCTGTCAGTGACCCTTTGCTGCTGGGGCACTGGGAATGGTTTTCAGTGCCTCTGCTGGGTGTTCTTTAAGGGATGAGGTCCTGGTTCAAGGGCCACAGGGCTGAGCTCCTCCTGCAACTGTGTGGCATGCATGGTCCTAGTTTTTAATGACCCCAAACCAGAGACTAGCCATATCTTCTACCACAATATTGCCATCCTACTGCTTTTGCATGTAATTTGCATGAAATTTGTTGTATTTAAAAGATATCAAGTTAGCAAATATTTTTTTCCCGTTCTGTGGGAGACAGTGTACCTGATCTCAAATCAGGCGAAATGGGGACCAAAGCGAGGCCCAAACTTTACCTGTACAATGACCACTTATCAACTAATTCTGAATTGTATCCTACATCTTAAAAAAAAGAGGCCAGGTGCAGAGGCTCAAGTCTGTAATCCTAGCAGTTTGGAAGTTTGAGGTGAGGGGATTGCCTGAGTCCATGGGTTCGAGGACAGCCTGCGCAATTTGGCGAGACCTCATTTCTTTTTTTTGAGTTGGAGTCTCACTCTGTCGCCCAGACTGGAGTGCAGTGGCCGCTCCTGGTCACCACAGCCTCGACCCGCTGGGCTCTGGCGATCCTTCCGCCTCAGCCTTACAAGTAGCTGGAACTACAGGCGTGCACTACCATGCCCAGCTAATTTTTTGATTTATTGTAGAGATGGCGTCTCGCCAAGTTGCCCAGGTGGGTCTCGAACCCACAGGCTCAGGCAATCCACTCACCTCAGCCTCCCAAAGCGCGGGATTACAGACTGAGCCACCGAGCCTGGCCAAGACCTCATTTCTACAATAAAAATTAAAAATTTAGCTGGGCATGGTAGCACACACCTGTAGTTCTGGCTACTTGGAAGGCTGAGGAGGAAGGATTGCCTGAGCCCAGCAGTTCAATGCTGGGGTTGCAGTAAATGTGCCACTGCACTCCAGCCTGGGCGATGGAGCAAGACTCCAACTCAAAAAAAAAAAAAATCAAGTCTGGGCACAGTGGCTCAGGTCTGTAATCCTAGCACTTTGGGAGGCTGAGGAGGGGGGATTGCTTGAGCCTAGGAGTTTGAGACCAGCCCGGGCAACATAGTGAGAACTTGTCGCTACACACACACAAAAAAAATCAGAAAGTTAACTGGGCTTGGGGGCAACGTGCCTGTAGTTCCAGCTACTCAGGAGGCTGTGGTGGGAGGATTGCCTGAGCACAGGAGGTCAAGGCTGCAGTGAGCAGTGATTGTGTCACTGCACTCCAGCTTGGATTACAGAATGAGACTTTGGATTACAGAGTGAGACTTTGACTACAAAACAAAAGACATCTAAG